GGCGACCCCAGGGCGGCCCCCCGCAGGCCTACCGTGAGCATGTAGTCCTGCAGCAGCTCGGCGGCCGTGGCGCTCAGCTCGCTCTCGCTGGCTGTCTTGGCGTGAGGCACCGCAGGCACACAGGACAAGGGCGAGACGCCACCCGCACGCACACACTCGGGGAAGGAGCTGGAAGGACACGAGCGTGGGCAGGCGGCGTGGGCCCTGCCCTGTTCCCATCCACAACGCCCTGCAGGGCCCAGGTAGCGCCAGGGGTCAGGGTCGGTGACAAGAAGGGGCCTGCCACGGAGGAGCACAACCGCCGGACAGCAAACCACATGATGGGGGGAGGGGGGCTGGAAGGTGACCTTGGGGAGCCCGCTCACTGGACGGGGGCCGGGGACCTGCTGGGAGGGTGCACTGAGGGGAGGGGCGGGCGGGTGCTCACAAGGCCCTGGCGTCCGTCTCGTACGGCTCCTTCACGTCCGCCTTGGGGGAAGAGTCGTCTGTATGGGAGTGTGGAGGGCAGATGCCTGTCACAAGGGGCAGGCGTCGGGGAAGGCCACAGCTCTGTGGGACTGCGGAGCCTGTCACTGGGTGTCTGCAGGCCTTCCAGGGCAGAGCCCGGGCCCTGGGGACACCTCCCAGGGGGCTTGGGAGATGAGCCACCTGCTCCAGGTCTGCACAGAGGGACAGGGAGGGCTCCCCAGTGGCGAGGACAACAAAGGGCCTGCCTGCGGGGAGGGGGGGGGCGGCTCCCACCAGCAGGGCCTGTGTCACTTTGCCTTTTTTGAGCCTAGCAGGATCACCACCACCCCAGTTCTATGAAGAACAAAATCAGAGGCCATGTGCCTGTCCTTTGTCACATGGCTCTGACCCCCGAACCAGCAGAGTTCCAGGCATTGGTGGCTGCTCCAAGAGGCAGGGCCACAACGTGGAGACCCTCAGGCCAGCAGAGGGCCCGATACGCAGCTGTTCCTCAGGAGACACTAGACAGTGACCTAAGGTCCGGGTGACAGGGATTGTGAGGGACGTAGGCACCGTTATATGCAGCAAGAGCTGAGAGGCGTGTGACAGAGTGTGGGAGGGGACAGAAGGACAAAGGGACGCTGCCAAATGGGGGCTCCACAGGCTTTGTGCTCCTGGCTGACGTGTGGGCCCTGGGGGGGAGCAGGGAGGGACCTCTCTGCACAGAGGTGGCTCTGTGGCTCTGCGCGACAGCTGCACAGCCTCCCATCTCACTTCCTGTGTGCCCGACTCACAGAGCCGTGAGTCCTAATAAAGCAGACCTGGAAGGCGAGGTCTGGCTGCGGCGGATGTGAGTGCATGCGGTGGCCGTGGGCGGTGAGTGGGGCCGGGGCGGGGCAGGGCAGTGCGGTCCCGGTCAACCCTGCGGGGCTCCTTTGCCCCCCCCCGACATCCCCCAGCGGCCTTTGTCCCTGGAGAGCCCCACAGCAACTGCGGGCCTGGGTGTTCTGGAAAGGAGGCCCCCACAGCCACTCGCGGCCCAGTGCTGGGAGCCTCTCCCAGCACCATCTGAGTTAGGTGACAGCCACAGGTGGTTCCAGAAAGTGTGTTCTTGGGCCCCGGAGTTATGCAGGAAGCCACCCCGGCTGAGCGGGCTCCTGTGTGCCTTGGCCAAACTCGCCATGGACGAGAACAGGGACGTCTGGGAACAGGTTCGGGCTCAACCCAGGGCCCCAAGCGGTGGGTGGCAGCAGCATCCTGGCACACCGACACTGACCAGGCGTGTTTGTGGGGGGCCCGGGCTCCCACAGGGCAGCAGAGGCCATGGCTGCCCGCCCCGCTGCTCACCGCTGAGGGACAGGTGGTGGGTGGGCGTGGAGGCCCCGTCGAATATGGCTCTGTCCAGGAAGTCGATGGTGGACTCCGTGTACACGATCTGGAAAACCTGCCCGAGCAGGGCGCACAGCTCCTCCGCGGCCACCTGCCGTGGGGACGCAGCTGCACCTCTGGGCACCTTCCAGGCGCCCGGCCCCTCAGGTGCTGCATGGGCACCAGGCCTGAGTGCCCTCTGGGGCTCTGAGGTCACCGGCCCACCACAGGACGCCATCTGTAGCTCGTTCCCCTGCCCTGGCGGCTGATGCCCTCACCACCCGCCCGTAGGGCAGCCTCCCCGCCACCACCCGCCACCACCCGCCACCTCCCCTGTGAGCAGCTGAAGCGGGGCCAGGACACGGGGCCAGGTCTGTAGGGACTCTGGTGGGGACAGGAGGAGCGACTGCCTGGCTGGGAAGGTGGCCGAGCTGAGCAGGGACCCCGACCAGACGCCACCTGAGGTAGGCATCACTACTGCCGGTTCACATGGAAACCAAACAGAAGAGCACCGAGGGGCTCTCTGAGGCCAGGAGCCCTTAGGTGGCTAATGGACCACAACTTTAACTCTCCACTCCCAGGAATCTTCCCGCAGGACACAGCTTGGGGTGCAGGAGATGCCACCCCCATCAGCACAGGGAGAGAGAAGACAGGCAGGGAAAGAACCATCCAGCACAGCCCAGGGGGCACCAGACCTGGCAGGGACTTGGGGCCTAGGTGGGTGTGGGCGGGGCCCGTGTCTGGTATGGGCGGGACAGTCAGGCATGGGCGGGGCCTTATTCTGGTGGGCGGGGCCTGGTTCCAGTTCCCAGCCCTACTCACCTTGCTGTCTGTGGCCAGGATCACCAGGCAGCACGCCTCCACAGGCCCCACTCCACTCTCCGACAGGGAGCCTGCAGTCAGGCCTCTGGAACTTTCCGCACACAGACTCTGGCTGGGGGAGATGCCGGGGTCCTGGGCTGAGAAGTGGACCCCACAGCAGGTTAGGGCAGGCAGGCAGCAGAGCAGCAGGCTCGGGTCCAGGCCCCCTCCACCACCTTCTCGAAACTGGGTGGGGACAGCGACCCCCACTCACGCCACCCACTTCACGCTGAGCCCACCATCCTCCACGACCCACCACACCCCTGCAAAGATGGCACAAGTCACTTAGGCTGAGACATAAAACGGCTGACGTCCAGTCTCTCCATCTACTCCGAAGGTGTTCTCAGGGCCCAGTTAGGGCACAACAGGCCGGAACACAGTCCTTGACGAGAAGCAGGGGGCCAGGGCAAAGGCGACCCAAGCCTGTTGCGGGGCCCATGTGGGAGCCTGGACTGGAGGGCCACTGTGCTACCCAGCCCGGGAAGGCCCCGTGTGCCAGCTCCAATCCCAGGGACAGGCGCCACACGTGAAGCCTGAGCACCAGGGGCTGAGCCCACACAGGACAGAGAGCACCTGACGCTCAGAGGGGCCAGTAACAGCCGATGGGGTGGACCCCGGGCACAGGCCGAGCCCCACGAATCCCAGGGGCCCCGTGCATCCATGGCCACAGGCACTAGGCACATGCTATGGGACAGATCCCAACTAAGCCCGAAGTGGAACCCACCCAGGGCCTGGGGGCCAGTGCAGTGAGAATGCTGCTGCCTCAGAAACAGCTGTGATGCTGCTGTGGGGACAGACGGCCACGTGAAACGCCATTAACGCCGGTTTCACTCGCTCCTTTCCGCCTTTTCTAACGTGGCTGCTACAACAGCGTGCGTCGCTCAAAAGCCACGGAGAGCTAGTGGGTGCCGTTTCTACGAGACCAGTGCCCCGCACCCAGGGCAGGGCACCGGCCACGGGCACGTGCAGCCGCAGTCCCAGGCGGTCCCCACTGGGCCTGCTGTAGACCCAAGTCCCAGACACAGGGACTCAGTCCCCTCCTGCGACACAAAAGTTCACAGAGCCCCGGGTCTCGGCTCACGTCTCTTTAAGACTTTCTCCTATTACTACTTTCTCAGCGACTCGTCCTGACGACACAAGCCAGAAAAGTCTTACAGTGCCAGGGACCTCAGGCCAGCACCTGCCCGCCAGCTAACCACCTGCAGGACCTAGTCAGAAGCCGGTTACCCAATTCTGTCCCTAAGGGTGCCCCCGATCTGGAGCCTCCTGCAGGGACTGTCCTGGGCGGGGAAACGGCGGCCACCAGGGCGGGGCAGCTGTGCTGGATGCAGCCGTGAAGCCAGTTCTCAAAGCCAGCCAGCCCCGCTATCCACCAACTGGGTGACCAGTGCCGGGTCCCGTCATCTGTGCCGTCACCCCAACTGCATGTGGGACGGAACAGAGGCCACCCGCACGTCTACCGTGGACGTCTGCCACACGCTTCGTGCGAGTTTGGGCCAAATGAAGCGCCGTTTTCGGGGACTAAATGGTTCGATGCCAGCTGTTTCGAGTGCACAACCTGAATAAATGCCCATCGTTAAACAGATGGTCACTGGACACGAGGGGAAACGAACCTAGGTACACAGGGGACGTCGCTCAGGATGTAGGTGGCACGGCAGGGTGACGGACAGGCTGTCACTCATGCTGCGGGCAGTGGCAGCACCGTCAGCTGCACAGGCGAGAGCAATGAGGACGCCCGGCAGGGCCCTCTGGGCCCCGTGACGACTCCCCTCTGTGCGGCCTGAGGTCTGGAGTGTGGTCAGTGGCCCCCTCTGGCCCCCGCACATGTGGCCCCTTGGCAGTGAATGGCTTCGGGGTTCGGCCTGGCCGCTGGCGGTGCCACGGAACCCGGGACAGGGCCTTGCTGTAGGGCCCACCCGGGAACCCCAGTTGGAGGGCCCGGTGCCAAGAACCTGTGACTTCTGCCTCCATTTCTCGGGCAGAGACTATGGACTGGCAAGCAGCTTGTCCCCAAGAGCCCAGGGAGGCGGCACTCGCCACCAGCTGGGGGGACAGGCCAGGACAAGGTCCTTTCTGTCGTCCAATGGGCTACTCAGAATGTCCTGCAGGCAAAGAGGCTCCTCGGGGTCTGGTCCCAGCTCTGGGAAGACTAGCGCTGCATCTACCAGGCCTGGGTGCCAGATGACACCCCAGAGTCCTGCAGGGGGCAGCGTGGGACAGAGTATAGGCCCACAAGGCTACAAGCGCCCATGGTGAGGGTCAGCACCTGCCTGGGGACCTCCCAGGGCCCTGCCCTCCTGGTGGAGGCTGATCTCGGGGACAGGAGGGCCGCTTCTCGGGCACGACAGGCAGCAGCAGCTGACCCACCACTGCAAACTGTCCCCAGCACCTGTGAACCCGGACCCGCCTCGGCATGGAGACATGGCCGCCCCCGCTCGTACCTGTCTTCAAGACCACCAGGTGCGAGGCGTCATCCCGCACATAGGACACAGCGGCGATGTCGTGGATGGGGACCCTGAGGATGGTGTCATCGCCATCCCGCCAGGCCAGCTTGACGTTGTAGGCGGACAGGCTGATCACGGCGTCGTGCTCCTGGGTCAAGTGTCCGGGGAGCTGGTGGGCTCTCTGCGGGGAGCACAGGCATCAGCATGCGGGACCGCATGGGGTCCCGGCCCCCACCACGCTCGCCCCCTGGAGCCGCCCGCACTGGGACATGAAGTCTGACAGCCCCGACCCTGAGGGGCGCGTATGCGGAATGAAGGGGGCGTTCAGCCTGGGGGGCCGTCTTTACGGTAGGAGCCAAGTGCGCCCACGACCTGAGGGCACTAGGCGGCCCTCAGGTCCGCAAGGCCCAGAGTCCCAGGACCCGAGCTGCTGCCGGGGGCGGGGGTCAGAGGCAGGCTACCTTTGCGCTGTCGATGAAATGCAGGATCTCAGTCCGGCTGGAGGGGTTCAGGTATCCAGGTACGGACGTCAACTGACCTAAGTACTGAGAGGGAGCAAGGTCAGGGCCGCCCGGCAGCGTGGGCCGCCGCTCCCCCCCGCAGGAGCACACCCCGAGTCTGGAGAAGCCCGGCCGGTTGGGGACACACACACGTGCTGCTGCGGAGCTCACCGCTGCCCCAGAGCCCTGCGAGGCACCCCGACAGGACGCAAGGCGCCCCCACGCGACAGTGCACACGGGCACGCCACACGTGGCCGCCTCCCTCTGTGCGGGACACAGGTCTGGGCGCCAGCATGGCACACGTCGCTTCCCCGCTGGCTCAGGCCTCCGCGTTTTCAGTGGCTACTGATCCTGCCCCAGAGCAGCCTGCCCCCCGCTCCCGACGACACTTCCCAGTCTTCCGACTCGTGCGTTTGGGGGTCGCCGTTGCAGGGGTGACGCTGGGCTTCTGCATATAGAACTCAGAGATTGTCATCCCGTGACCACAAGAAAGAGCTGAACAAACCAAAAATCGACAAGTCTTCTTAGACCCACCAGAGAAAGGGGTCGGAGGGCGAAGGCCGTCCCCAACGCTGAAGGGTGCAGCAGGGAGGCGGCGTAGGTGCTGTGCCCACGAACCATGGCACGCGAGGACACAGCCTCACGGTCACGATGGACTGAGAGGCCGGGGGACGTCTGACTGCTGGCACATCAGCTGCCATGGGCAAGGAGGATGACACAGCAGCGGGTCTCAGGCACACAGAGCCGCTGCTGGTGAGCCCACCACGGCCACCTACGCGGCAGACAGCGCCTCCAGGAAGCACTGTGGAGGGAACCTGGCGGATCCACGATCACACCAAGCCCGGGTCGGCCTCCCTCAAGCCTCGGCCTGGCCCAGCTGCACGCCGGCGGAGGGGACGCTGAGACCTGGGCAGGTGCATCTGAGAACCTTCTCCATGGTCTGGGCCTCAGGCGGCCACCCACCTGACAGAAGATGGAGGACTCCACACACTACTGCTCGAAAATGACACACAGGACTCGAACAGGACAGGCACCTGGCACAAGGCTGCCCCCTCGGGGTCTGCCCCCCGCCCAGGCCTGCGCCTGGGGCCAAATCTCATACAGCATCACTAGGGACACTGGCCCAACTATAGAGTGCTGCACACCGACATGGGAGCCGGGACAGGAGGGGCGCACCCATGTGTCCTCAGGGGCTCGCCCCACGCAGGGCCCAGGCATGGCTCTGTGAGCTCAGCTGGATGAAGCCCATGCGGACCACAAGGGACACAGCAGAGGTGCTGTGGGTCAGGCCTACTTCCCTGTGGAAGACGGGGAGGCCGGCAGACGCCCCGCTCTGGAGGGTGAGCTGGACAGCCCGACTGGAAGGGGCACTAGCCACCGAGCTGCTCTGGTGGTGGGGCTGATGGGGACATGCTGGAGCTGGGCTCCTGGAGCGAGGGGAGCGGCCCTGAGCCAGTGACAGGGTCAGTGACAGGGCCTAGAGGTGGCTCCTGAGGCGGAGGGGCCGCTGGATGCCTCCCATCCATGCAGGGACACCAGCAGTACAGTGCCAACGCAGCGCCAGCCTGACCCAGTTTCCAGACCGACACTGACCCAGGAGCGGCCACGCCCACGAGACAGCCTGGGCCGCGAGGCGAGCACGCACCGGCTCGGTCTCTCACTTGGGTGGGGGGACCCTGGGGACGAAGAATCCTTCCGAGTTGGATCAGAGGGTCTGATAGGGCGCTGACACTCAGGTCCAGACCACCGACACGTCCTGTCAGGGTGGAGGCAGTGAAGGCCATTCAGGCCGGTCCACCCCCAAGGAGCCCTGGGCGCAGAGCCCCTTCTCGGATGTGGGCAGAGTCTGCCGCTGCGGACACAGCCGGACGTACTCTTTCCGAAACCCGCCAGGAGCCGCGTCCACACAGGATGGTGCTGCGTGTTGACACCCAAGAACCTGCCGGCCAGTCTTCCGGGGTGGTGGCCCGTGCCCGACCTCTCAGCATGGCCATGGGACACGTGAGCGGTGACGATGCCCCGATGGCCGGTGAGGCTGGGCGCTGTGTCCTGTGCTCATCTGCCATCGGCACGTCCTCTTAGGCGACACGTGCCCCGCGGCTCCTGCCCACTTCCTGGGTGGACGGTGGGGGCTCCGGACTGCCGGGTCGTAGGGCTGTGTGCGCGTCTGTCTGCGTCTCCGGGCGCTCCACGCGCTCTGCCTCTCACCCTCCCTCGAGCACATCGTGGAGACGGACGATTAAGATGCTTCACATTCCAAAAGCTCCATCTCCGCCTTTTATTTACCGGGCGACCCTGCGCCACGGTTCGCGCTGCTTCTGCTCGTCGTCCTGACAGTGTGACACAAGTTTTATTTTTCGCGTGTCTTCCGCGTCCTTGCTGCTCTGTTCCCATTTACTTCTGGAGTCTGTCTTGGGCTCCGTCTCAGGACAGCGGGAGGCTGCGTGCGGGCTGCGGACCCCTGGGGTGTGCTCACGGGGGGCCACACTGCGGCCGCGCGGCTTGCCCGCGGGAACGCCCG